GAAAACTAATGGGGCTGTTTCCATAAAACAAAGTCTGAGACATATTCAGTAAAGGCAAACATATATGTTTTAAATACACAGCTATTTCATTCCTTTTCTGTTTCACTTTGCTGTTTGTTTTTTTTTTTGTTTTGTTTTGTTTTTCCTGTTGTAATCTCAGTATACACTACAGAGCTTGATTTATTCTTTGGCTGCTTTTAATTCCAAAAGATCCTTACTGCTACTTTATTATGTAAACCTCCTACTCCTCTGTCTTTTAGCCTTTGTTGCTGCAGAGTTATTGAGATCACATAAACAGGCCCAAGAGCTGCTGCTAAATAATTGAAATTCACTTCATTTTTAGAATGGATACTCCCTTGGAACATTTGCTGTAATAATTTTCTACTCCCAAAATAAACTTCTATTTCCATTCACTGGCATGCTTTTTGTGAAGACAATGAGAAAAGAACTAAAATGGGTAACAACGACACCAAAAAGATATAATTAACTAGAACTCTTTAACAAAAAAAAAAAATCTATGTTACATCAGCAGTTTTATTACCATGGTGATAAATGCTAAAGCTAAATTTTGGAAGTTTTTTATATGCAAAAAAAAAATATGTATAAGGGAGACCCTACTTCCTTTTATCCCTCCCTGCTATAAACAGGAGAACATATTAAAAATTAATCTTCTTTTTACAAATGATTTTGATTTCTTTGCATAACAGTGATGAATTCAATTCAAATGACCTATTTAAAGGAAGGCGATTTGCTGCTCTTCAGTGTTGGGGCTACAGTCAAAAACCACATGTTAAAAACCATCTTGTTTAGAACACAACATAAATAATATGACAATTGTCTCAATGACAATTCAAAATAGAGCTTCACTGCAAAGCTAATGCCATCTGAAAAAAAAACCAAAAAACAAAAAACCATGATGAGAAGACAGAGACTGAAGAAGCAAAACATTTTTGATGCAAGAGTTATACCTAACTCTTGTAAGAATACAAATACAATATCAGTGCAGGAAGAACTTGCTTTTGCTAGAAATAAAACAAAAATCTGGCACACACATGGCCCAGAAAAACCAGAAGCTCATCTACTGCAGTCTATAACCAGGGAGAGACAGAAAGAACGGTTGTCCCCTCATGGCCACCTCCTGGTCGGCCACACCAGTATCACTCCTGTGTCCACCTCTTCTCCTAGCACTGCCACAGCTCCCAGCTGATGGGTTTGCTGATGCTGACGTCCTGGACACTCACCTGCAAAACGGTTACAGGCTAGTGCAACTGTCAGTGACACTGATGATTTGGGGATGACTGAAGAGTGTTAGAACACTTAAAGCTCTGTTAAACTTTATTCTAACAACCAGAGGTTCTACCTTTACTTGCAAGATTACTTTTCAATTCAACAAATTAATCCTCCAATTAGCAAAACACTGAACACACTCCAGAATGACAGCGTGTGAGTGGTTTGGCTGAGTTCACTGGGAGTACTGATGTAACTAAAATTAAGCATGTATTTTTTTGGTCCAGATCCTAGGCAAATTGACTCCATCACGTGCTTTGATAATAAGTTCCAGAAACAAACGTTAAACTCTGTGGAGCAAACACATTTTCATAGCAGACTGCATTATCCTACTGCTTGACAATCACATACACACAAAAAAAACCCCAAAACTACAAAACCCCCCAAAAGACTAAACAGATGAATCCACCTGTTTAATTACATTTACAACCTCTAAGGAGGCACATTTACAACCTCAGTGGTGGAGAGCTGCTACTCAATCAGCTCACTGCACATATTGCTCTTCTGGGATGGTGACAGACTGTGAATTACTAAAGCAAACAGTCACGAGACAGTTATCAGACTCAAAGTCCAAGACAGACCTTCTGATTCTGGCCTAATCAACACCACTCTGGAGAAGGAGTGTGATAAAGACAAAACAAAAACGTTATCACAGGATGTGATTCAGCTACCTGGCAACATGTTGTGGACAGGTGTGGCAATGTTAATATCCTGGAGGTGCTTCAGTGTCTCCGTGTGGAAAAGGCGAAGTGTAGACCCAGATGTGAAGGCAATCCAGATTCCCACTCCAGCAACAGCCATGTGAGAGATTACCATCCCTTCCTCTTGATGGGCTTCAAAATGGTTCTGGAAGAAAAACAAGGACTCTGTGGGGAGATGCAACCGAACAACATCATTCAACCTTCTTTATCAGCTGTTCAGTGGAGGCACCATATCTTTGTCCTCTCTGTCAAGGACAAAGTCAGCTTCCTCTGCTTTGCTCAGGATATGTTCTGACTGCTGCATATAATGTATTAATTTTCATGCTACTTTTTTTTGGAAAATACATCAACGTTAGTTATGGAATGGAGCCATAAATTCTACCTAGTGACAGAGCAACTACACAGTAACTTAGTTATTGTATTCATTAAAAATATTGCATCGTAGGGACTGGCAAGCCTGTAATGGCTCAAATTTCAAAGGAGTTTGTATTTCTTTATTGATACCCCTTTGGGAAAACTACCACAGAAGAACTTCCTGGGGAGCTTTCCTGGGGAAGAGCTTCCAGACTTCTCTCAAATATATTACTTTTGCCTACAGCAGAACTCCTCTTTATCTATTAAAAACCATTTTTCTTCTGTTCTGTCAGGGAGCACTTTCAGAACAAGGATAGCTGATTCAAGGAAAAAGTAATTCTTAGAAAGTAGAGTGTTTATGGAAATAAATACACAATTATTTGCTGAACTACATACATAACACTGTGACCCTTAATGCTGTGGCTTGCTTTTCAACTCACAGGCACTTCTGAATATCACAACTATTAGCTATTTGGTTTTCCTGTTCTTCAAAATATTTATGCTTCTCTCTAGAAAGGCCCAAATCCCCCTGAAGTAATACAGGACTTTTACGGTAGACCTTTTCCTTGATCTAGTTCCTTCAGCTACAACTTCTGCATGACTCTAGGAAGGCAAAAACCTCTCTGCATGCTCCTGTTAATGTGCAGAATAAAGCTATATTAAAGTTCTTTAAGCATTACGAAGAAGTTGGGAATATTTTTTCCCACATTTTGTCTTGTAAGTTAACTGTCTCTGAAGTTAAACACGGCCCTTTAATGTTGTGCCAGCTATTATCAAGTACAGTGAGCTATTCTGAAAACATAAAACTTCCTGGGCTAAATCCATGACATATTGTTCCCTGGACACAAATCTCTCTCTGAGGGATATGGAAGTAAATATCTAGTCTAATATTTACACTACATATTATATACTCTTAATTACATTTGCAAATAAAATGGGAAGTATTCCCTTCCTCCTTGTAAAAGTACACAAATTTGCATTGCAATTAAGGGTTACATTTTTGTCATTTTGCATCAAAATCTAAATTACATTTCTCAGGATAAGCTCTTAGTCTAAGATGGTTACAGAATCATAGAATCATAAAGGCTTGTATTAAAAGAGACCTTAAACATTCTAGTTCCAACCCCACAGCCATAGGCAGGGATACCTCCCACTAAACCAAGCTGCTCAAAGCTCCATTGAACCTGGTCTTGAACACCCCCAGCGACAGAGCAACCACAGCTTCCCTGGGCAACCTGTTCCAGTGACTCACCACCCTCAGGGTGAAGAACTTCTTCCTTACATCTATTCTAAAGCTACCTTCTTCCAGTTTGAAGCTATTACCCCTTGTCCTATCACTACATGCCTTTGTGAAAAGTCCCTCCCCAGCATTCTTATAGGCCCCCTTCAGATACTGGAAGGCCACAATACATTGTCCCTGGAGCCTTCTCTTCTTCAGGCTGAACAACCCCAACTCTCAGCTTGTCTGCATAGGAAAGGGGTCCTCCTTATGTTGGGGCTCCAGAGATCCACGGATGAATCTCATGAGTTCCCATGGACTTGTACACTTGCTGGTTCTTTAGGTGGTCTCGAACCTGGTCTTCACTTAAAGTGGGCAGTTCTGCTTTCTCCCAATCCCTGCTTTTGCGTTCTGCAACGTGGGCAGTGTGGCTAGAGCCTTGCCAGTGAAGACTGAAACAAAAAGTCATTGAGTACCTCGGCTTTCTCCATATCCCTCATGACCAGATCTCCTGTTTCCTTCTGGAGAGGGCCCACATCTTCCCTAGACTTCCTTTTATCACTAACATACCTGTAGAAGCTTTTCTTCTTACTCTTGATGTCCCTGGCCACATTTAATTCTGTCTGGGCTTTAGCTTTTCTAACCTGATCTGTGGTTGCTTGGACAACTTTGTAATCCTCCCAGGCCACCTATCCTTGCTTCCACTCTCTGTAGATTTTCTGTCTAACTGTGTCCAAGGAGCTCCTTCTTCATCCATGCAGCCCTCCAGGCATGCTTTCCTGTCTTCCTCTTTTTTGGGATGCATTGCTCCTGGGTGTGGAGGAGGTGGCCAGCTTTCCTGGGTTCCTCTCCCCTTCAGGGTTTTGTCCTATGGCACTCTACCAAGTAGATCCCTGAAGAGGTTAAAGTCTGCTTTCCTAAAGTTCAGGGTAGTGAGCTTGCTGCACACCTTCCTGGTGCCCTAAGGATCTTGAATTCCACTATTTCATGGTCACTGCAGCCAGGGCTACCCTTGAGCCTCACTTTACCCACCAGCCCCTTCTTTTTGGTGAGAACACAATCAAGCACAGCACCTTTTCTCATTGATTTCTCTACCACATGGATAAGGAAATTGCCATCAATGCATTCCACCTGGATTTGCTGGCACTCGGCTGTGACATCCTTCCAGCAGGTATCAGGGTGGCTGAAATCCCTCATGAAGACCAGGGCTTATATATGTGAAGTTGCTCCTGTTTATAGAGGGCCTCATCCACTCAGTCTTCCTGGTCAGGTGGCCTGTAGCAGACATCCACTATGATCAGGAATCTGGACAGGCTGGATCAGTGGGCTGAGGTATGGGCTTCAGCAAGGCCAAGTGCCAGGTCCTGTATTTTGGTCACAACAACCCCAGGCAACGCTACAGGCTTGGAGAGAAGTGGCTGCAAAGCTGCCTGGCAGAAAAGGACCTGGGGGTAGTGATTGGCAGTGGAAAAATATGAGCCAGCAGCGTGCCCGGGTGCCCAAGAAGGCCAACAGCATCCTGGCTTGTATCAGAAATAGCGTGGCCAACAGGAGTAGGGAAGTGATCATCCCCCTGTGCTCGGTACGGGTGAGGCTGCACCTCGAACACTGGGTTCAGTTTTGGGCCCCTCACTACAAGAAAGACACTGAGGTCCTGGAGTGTTTCCAAAGACAGGCAACAAAGCTGGTGAAGGGTGTAGAGAACAAGTCTTATGAGGAGTAGCTGAAGGAACTGGGGCTCTTCAGCCTGGAAGAAAAGAGGCTCAGGAGAGATCTTATTGCTCCCTACAACTATCTGAAAGGAGGTTGTATAGTAGGGTGGGTGCCAGTCTCTTCTCCCAAGTAACAAGTGACAGGACAATAGGAAATGGCCTCAAGTTGCACCAGGTGAGGTTTAGATCGGACATTAGGAAAAATTTCTTCACTGAAAGGGTTGTCAAGCATTGGAACAGGCTGCCCAAGGAGGTGTTGGCATCACCATCCCTGGAGATATTTAAAAGATGTTTAAATGAGGTGCTTAGGGACATGTTAGTGTTAGGATAACGGTTGGACTCAATAATCTCAAAGGTCTTTTCCAACCAAAGCCATTCTATGATGATCTCACCTTCCCCTGCCTGACCCATTAACTCTCGGTCAGCTCCTCGTCCACCCCCAGGCAAAGCTCACGGGACTCCAGCTGATGGCTGACCTGGAGGGTGACACCCCTTCCTCTGCTCCCCTGCCTGTCTTTCCTAAAAACCTTATTTCCCTCTACTCCTACACTCCAGTCATAGGAGCCATTATTGTATTATGCCATTATTCTGTTTTGGATATATTAGGGTTATAGATATAGTGTTCAAATTCTTTATCTAAATTCAACAAACAGAATAATATCAGAGATAAAGAATAGAAATTTAAGCTTTCACAAAGTGTAATTTTTGATATTATATTAGTAGCACTAATTTTCTTTTCATACTTTATTACTCCATAAATTAGTACTTCCCACTGAAAAAATGGGCTGTTTAAAAATAAAGGGGAAGATTTTTTTTCCCCCATTTCATTTGTTAACACTGTTCTTCAAATCTTCAGTTTTTAATGACTGAACAGAGCAGTTTCTCTTCTGCTATTAGGCAGTGGTTCAGTTTTTGAGCGTTGCTGCATCACCCTTTGACCCTTTGAGTAACACACCTGCAGAATGCACGGCGTGCACTGTCTGGCAGGCACACTGATATTCACTGAATCCTTCCAGCAACCTCCATTCATTCTTTATCAAATTAGATACACAACTTGAAAACCATATGACTTATTCAACAGTAGAATTCATTCACGAACCTCATCCTTCAAAGCCAGAAACAACTATGACTAAATTTCCCGATACTCTCATCATGCGTGTTTCATTGCAGAAAGTATTTTAAAATAGTAACTTCTGTTTATAAACTCATACATCCCTACACCAATGACCAATGGACTTTTGAAAGCTTCCTAGGGACAGATCCAAGGCTGCTGAAGTGAGCCTGACCAGCAATTTGCACTGCTTGAAATTAGAAAGAAATGAGAAGCAGACTGTAAGAAATGTGTTTTCCCTGGAGTGGTCTGACCACAGCTGGCAATTCTGTAGGCACCACTGTAAACAACTTGCACATGCATTTTTGCCACATTCCATTTTACCAGCCAACTCGTTATCCTCCCACTTAGTCTGCCCTGCCATTCGTACAGCTGGCTGCTGAAACAAGGAGACACATTTAAAGTAAAACTGTAGCATTGTCAATGCCACAAAAAAACCATGTAAAAATAACTGTTTTTCTCATTCAGAGGGTCTTCTAACATGGAGCAGGAACATACCCCAGACCTGTATGTACTTTTACAGATATGTAGTTCTGACATCTGGTTCAATTGCATATCTATCTGAAAACCAATAGCCTGCCTTTTTCTCAACTATTTTTTTTCTTCTCATAACAAGAAATACAGATCCAAAGGGACAAAAATGTCTTACTGCTATAAAAAAAAAAAAAAAAATCAAATTTCATTTTACTTTTCTCTTTCAGTTTTCATACCTACATTCCTCTCTCTTAAGAGCCCAGCTTTTTTTCCCTGCAGGCTCTCTCGTTCAAACTCTACAGCAACAGGAGAGCTGCAGAGGCCATTGTGGGTGCTGGAGCCCTCCTGCCCAGCAGCACAGCCCAACATAGCTCACTATTGTCTCAGCAGCGCCGGGCATGGCTGGAGTCTTTCTTCTGGGGGGGTGCTCACTTGTACCAAACAGCCGTGCCAAGAACTGCACTGTGGTTTCTCAAGCTTCATGAGTGATGAATAATGGGTGTCATTGTCCACAAGGTAAAACAAATGACTTTTACTACTTTGAAGAAGTTACAGTACTCAGACAAGATACACTCATGTGCAGGGATTTTCATTTGTTGTGTTTATTCAGCTGAACGTTTCAGAGTAACTCATGTGTAGTCAGCCAAGTTTTAAAAACAATACTAAACAAACCAGGATGGAATGCCATTCAGTTGGTGACTTTATTTTGTTAAATACTCTGGCATTTTTTAATTGTTTTTAAACAAACACATGCTGCTTTTGCAGAGAGTAAGGGTCTACAGGCCCGAGACCACTGTGGGACCAAGGCCTATATCCAACACCAATACAAATGTCAGATTTAGGGTCAGGACTAACGCCAAATTTCTTCTTCACAAAAAGCGTGTCAGAGTATGTAATTAATATATTACAGCAATTGACGCGTTCCTCACACGTCCCTTGCCAAGGAGCTTGAGGCACTCTGCCAGTTAGGGGCACTGTGCCAATAAAAGACAATTCCTAAAACATTCCATTACAGTAACATACCATTAAAACAAGTGAATTGAAAGTCTTACCCGTATCAGAGAGGGGGGAAAAAAAGCAGGAAAAGTGCATAACATCCAAATCAAACATATAGGATGCCACACCTGCTCATTTACTACTAGCTATTAAAGAAAAAATATTAAATAAGTATCTTAGAAAAGCAGGGAGGAATAGAATGACATTGGTTTCAAGGATAATGTACTTTGCACTTAGCAAATGCACAGACAGTTAATGATTAGATAGATACCTATGAAGCAGGACTGCCTCACAAGGATAAAGTTTACAAAATAGTCTTGAATACGCTTATTGGCTTGCACAAATATGGCCTTCAAAACTAGTTAAGTGCCCTTATAGATAATGTATATGACACAAAGCACAGAGTATGTATGCATGACAGTAGAAAGCAATGAACAAGCCAGCAGCTGTAATTTTAAGTATGAGGAGATAGAAAGTTCAGCAAAGAGGGAAGAGTAACCATTGAACCCTCTACAACTGGATTCCTGCTAATAGGGCAAAGATGAATATCATGCAAAAAATCTTGAGTCAAATCATTACTACAAACTCTCAACATGAGAGGGCATGGAGGGAGAACAAACATTTCCTTGCTGCTGTTTCCCTTCACACAGCAAAGCTTCTGCTCTGCACAGTAAAGCAGAGGTAGCTCAGATGTATTCAGCTACTGATTTTGTTGAAATATTCTCTGTAGACAGAGTCTAAATTGCCTCATGTATATTTAATATAATATTGAATCAATATTGCCAATGAATGTCGTATGAACATTACAGGAGGTCACTTTTGGAAATATAAACCCAGGAAGTTATCAAAACAAATTGGGTAACAATAATGAAAACATTATTGAGCTGTTTAGTGTAGTAAAATGATGAAAACAATATCAGTACTGGTCTTAGGACCAGTGGAGAGGTAATTAAAAAATCATTTGTTCAAAATTCCATGAGGAAGGTGACATGCAATGGTACGGATATTTGTGTGGAATGGAAAAAGGTGACCCTCAGCCAGCCATACAAAAGAAACCCATCACATTCTTGAATAAAATTATCTGTGTTGAGAAAATATTATCCAACACATACGCACCATTTCCAGCGGCACCACTTCTTATACATTGTTTGCTGCAGCATTCATTGCCTGTATATTAATTATAGCTATAAAAGTCAGTGGATCTGTAATAATCTGAACTCTGAACACAACAGGTGTGTTACTTTACTAAGTACTCTGGAGGAAAAACTCCTGTGATGCTTTTGTAGGAAAACTTGTAATAACAGCTGAAAAATGAAATTACCATGTCTGAGAGATATTGATATTTGCTATTTTCTCTCTCCGAACTTCTGTTTTCAATACTGCAATCCATCATGCTATACTGTATTTTGATAGATTAAGCTTTATATATTCTTTAATCCTCAAAGATTGTCTAACTCTGCTTTTGTTCCCCCGTGCCAAAACAGTACAGCCCAAACTGCAGTCATGCCGCCTCATCTAGGAAGAGCTTTGGGATAGAATTAGGCAGGAATTACTAGACTTCTTTACAGAGATCTGGTCTTTACAGAGGTCTGTCTGTAGGTAACCAGCGTCACAGAGGAACAATCAATCCAGCTGTGGTCTCTTCCTATTGCTATGTATTTCTTGGTGAGACTCAGAGAGGTCAGTCATCAAAGGCTGTAGGACAGTAACCAGGTGTCCCAGAGGCCACTCTGGCCCCACAACAAAGCCAAGGAAAGTCCACTTCAACCACCTATCCAAATCAGTCTTCCAACATCTTCCCCTCATTATACCATTCAAACTATTAACAAAACAAGTCCTAAAGAAAAAGAAAGTAGGAAAATCTATGATCTGAGCATCTACTTGGATGAAACAAATCACCCAGAAAGTACTGATAAAGACAGAGGAAATTAGGATGTTAGCTATTTCCCTGCAAACACATGACAATGACTCACAGAATCAATTGTACCAAATAGACGATTGTTGGGAGAAAACAGGATCATCAATGAAACAAAAAAGCAGCAACAAAGCACACAAAGAAGGAGCCTGTGAGCTCATCAGGACTCCCGTGTGAAACAACTTCATGGCTGTAAACATCATGCAGCTTAGTGTAACTGTATTGTAGGCTGAAGGAGAAGCTTAATTCCTAACCTTTCATCAACTCTACATTTTAGACCACTAAGACATTCTTTTGGTGGAGGCTGCAACTTCGACAGAAATAAGGGCTTAATGCTTTCTGGAAAATGTGGTCACAAATACGAGCTTGGATCCTTAACACTCTCCTTCCCGAAAGCGGACTTTTGCATGATAATTTATTGGAAAATGTCCTTATGCAAAGCAAATTTTTGTAGGCCACTGAGAAGTAACACTCTGAAGAAAAAACTTATGAAATCATCAGCAGGTACAAGTAACACCTAACTGTGTAGAGAGAGTCTTTTAATTAAACCTTCTCCCTCTGGAATTCGTAGCCACTTCCTTGCTGCCTTTCCTCAGATCTCATTTTTATGCAAACTTCTTGCCCTGAATACTCTACGAGTTCCAAGCACATTATGAAAACCTGAGGGAAAATGGAAGCACACCTAGGTCTACTGAGACATGAGCAGAGAATGTGACAGCAGAATTTCAGACTGTAGGGAGTGGGATTTAACAGAACTGAAACTGTATTTCATTAAAAGCTTCCTGAATCACGAATTTTCTTGATCAAATTTTAATGTTTAAAAGTTCACCACTGACACCCTGTAGCACAGTATGTGAGCAATGCTTTTAAAAGTGTTTACCTCTATGGAATGTGTCACAGTGCTGATTATAAAAATTTGTCCACCACATGCAGCCCAAATGGTCTCCTCCATCACAAGCAGACTTCTAACAGGCAGAACCCCCAGTTTAACTATCTTCTGAGGTTCCGTGTTCCATGTCCCATCTTCAATAATAAAAAAGAAGAAAGGTTATACACAACAAAACGGTAATCTTTGTTTTAAAGTAGTTTTGAAAATACTGTCTCTCATGCCTACTGCTCAAATCCCTGTAAGTTGCCACTTCAGGCTGTACAGTGATTTACAGACGTTCAGTTTTAGCTTCCAGGGTAAGTTGCAAGGGTAACAGAGCATTAGGGGAAAACCCAAACCCAAACACTCATGTGTTCGTTAACTGAAGAATTTTTACCTGGATTAGTTTATAATCAAGAAACCCCACGTGGCTGTTCTGATATAACTGCTTTCCTTTCCAGAGGAAATACGATCAGAAACCCATGGCTGATACAATTTTCTCCAACTTGGAGGAGCTCACAACTGACCTATTTCAAGATGAATCAATTTCCAACTAGGACAGAAACATCTTTCATGTGAAAAGTAGTCTGCAAGATTTTTACTGTAGGCTCTAATGAGCTCAGATGATTCTCTAAGAGTACACTGATGGAATGGACTTCCTGCTACTATATGTTTCATTTAAGAAGAAATTTTTAAAGAAATTAAAACTTAATTTTGTGCCATATCTTTATTTTCCTATTTTTTTCCCCAACTATAATCCACAGTCTTTTCTGTGGATTGTATTTAGCAGATCTAAATTACTTTTTGCATGTGTATGCACAACCAGCTATTCAGGGACCTTCTGATAAAAGCTGCTTGCTGGCACTTACTGCTCTGGTCACTCTCACTTGCCATCTCTTTGAAACAAGGATCAGCAGATTATTTCCCTCCAAATTTAAGAGCTAGGAACATGGGCTTCTGGAAATAGCTGTAGCTGAGTCTTTTATATGTACATTTTTACTATACATTTACTGTACGTAAACACTTTCACTGTACATTTACTGTATATTTTTCATACTGTCAGTAATAATTTTAATACTTTTAATTTATTTCTACGGTAAGCGCTCATTGAACATAGAGTCTCAAAGACCACATTTCTATGCCTTATGCTTTAGTAACAATATCAAAATCATGGAAGTAGCTGTTTTTACATGGAGATAAAATATGTGGAAAAGGCCCCATTTCCTCACTTTAAAGCCTTCCTCTTGCATAAGATGCAGTAAAGTTGTCTACTTTACTGACATTGGCTTCAACTCAATAACTACTTAAATTTTGATTGATGAGACCAAGGCAAACACATCTGTAGGCAAGCACTTAAGCACAAGGTTTTTTTTTCTTTTTCCCCTGATAACAAGCCCATCTTTTATTATCTGCTTAGGTAAAGGGGTACAAAATATCCTGCTTCACAGTAATAGCAGCAACAACAACAATGAGAAGCCTCGGCTCTGGAGTACTTCTCATTGCTTCTGCATGATACAACCTTCACTGAGTCATTCTTGGGACGTGGCTCTCTTCCAAAAGCATCTTTGTAAAAATGACATTTACTTTCAGGCTGTCAAAATAACTTTCATTATTTCAGTTTGCAAGTGAGAAGAGCGCTTCCAGTTATTAGCCTGAAACTCTCCCAGCAATGTCAAAGTGACTCCATGTTCTTTGTGACTCACATGTACCATCAGTAATAAACAAACTTCTGGAAAAAGTTTTAATTTGCTAACAACCATATTATCCTCAAATTCAATTAAGTGGAGGCTAGCCATACCCCATGAATGCTTTAACCACTTTAAGCAGTTGAGCGCAAAGCCTTCAGAGAGCCAAGCTCCACAGTGGACTTTGGTTGCATAAGTTATGATGACTGCAGAAGTCATAACAGCATCCAGTACAAGGCACTCTCATGTTTCCTCCATAGGGAAGAAACTAGAATAGTTGTAGTCTGTTCTTCCTGTCTCTCCTGAAGGATGAAGACTAAATCTGGGCAAAGAGCAGATATGCTGAGCATAAAGCCATTTGTCTGTAGCTTCACACTGAACAACACATTGATGTACAGACAAAACCATTCCCTGAATCAACAGTTCTTTTAAATACATTCAAGCCATGCATTAATCTACGTATCAGCCCAGGAAAAATCCAGAGCTATCACCCTACCCAGACACCCTAGCCATGTATATGATAGGGCTATTCTATAGTACTTTTTTATTTCTTCCTCCAAACATTTGCTGTCTTCCAGATCAGACAGTGTCTGAGGCAGATGAGGGGATAAAAAGGGCTGGGGGAGACTCTAGTCTGGTAATCAGGGCAGTATTTAAGCGATGGGTCAGCTCTGTTCTCATCCCTGCTCACTGAATGCTTAATTAATTACACAAAGTGGAATGGCACCAGGAGGAGAAATTAAACACTCTGTGTCTCTCTCCTCTTATTCTGCGGCAGTCGGGGAAATGTCTTGACAGTTGGAGGCACGGGTACAAATCCTCTGAAGCAAGGCAAGGGATTAAGCCTGGTAATCCAACATACTTCTGGGAATGCTTCAACCACAGGCCGCTGGCTAAAAGCAAAATCATGACTTCATTCTGCTGACCAAGGATTTTATCACCCATCACCAAAATTACTTAGCAAGACTCCGTCTAGTTCACAACTCTTTTCCAGACTATCAATAATCACACTTCTAAGCAAACATAGCACTATATCTGCCTCTCTCTCCAAATCTCAGCAGACTGTGTTCCATATCTGCCTGCGCAGACCTCATGTTTGATGCTGGCTACTTCATGTTATCTGTCTAATCCAAAGATCATCGCTTCTAAAATCTGAGTGAAAAGAAGTATTATCTCTATTCTACTTGTGTAAACACCTACAGATCAAAGACACACTTTTGTAAGGAGGTCCAACAACTGGCTCTATCCCTATATTTAGAATCAGGTACAGCACTTGCAAAAGACACAAAACGGCTTCATTTGATGTTATAAATCCCTGGTCAATTACTGATTTAATGTATTTATCTTTTCCTAAAAAAAAAGAAAAAAAAAAAGGCAAGAAAGAGTAGCTGAGGAAAAAAAAAAATTCACAACAACATCTCAAGGCATAAAATAGTACAAAGCCAGTGCAAAGAGCCCTCCAAAACATTTTCTGAGCAAATTGAGCAAAAGAAAAACAAACAATGGAGATGTATACAAGGTGGCTCTCAGAGACCTGGCTGGAGAATACCTGCAGGAGGGCTCACAGAAGTGTGGCTTGCCTTAACATTCTGTTCAATCAATACCTTGTTTCTGTTCTCTAAACAAGCACTAGCTTAGTTTTAGGAAGATTTTATGGCCATTGATGTCTGTAGAATGCTGAAAAACCACAGACAATAAAGTCTTCTTCCACCTATGAGGTAAGAACATAGATCCTGAGTAAGATGCAGCACGCAGCACATATACCCTATATGCTTCTACTATAGAGTAGATCATCTTGAGTGAGTGATATTATGCATCACATACAGGACAACCAGGTGATCAGGCCCAGTCAGCATGGGTTTATCAAAGGCAGGTCCTGCTTAACTAACCTGATCCCCTTCCATGACAAGTTGACCTGTTTAGTGGATGAGGGGAAGGCTGTGGATGTTGTCTATCTGGATGTCAGTAAAGCCTTCAACTCTGTTACTCACAGCATTCTCCTGGAGAAACTGGCTGCTCATGGCTTGGATGGGTATATGCTCTGCTGGGTAAAACACCAGTTGGATGGCCAGGCCCGAAGGATGGTGGTGAATGGAGTTAAATGTAGTTGGCAGCCAGCAACAAGTGGTGTTCCCCAGGGCTCAGTGTTTGGGCCACTTCTGTTTATGAGGAAATAGCGAGTGTACCCTCAGTAAGTCTGCAGGTAAGTGGGTGTGTTGATCTGCTTGAGGGTAGGAAGGCTTGTGACATATATATACATACACCTACTTCCTTTCTTGAACCTTAAGTTTTGATTGGTATTGTTCCTAAATAAATTAAACTGTTTGTTCAGTGACCTTTGATCTCGGTGGTACTTTATGAGCATGGAGAAAGGGTATCACCGACCCACCCTCGGGAGAGGGACTCTACGTCTCGCCTGAAGCCTCTCTTTTGGAGGGGCAGACTGTCACAACCTTGCAAATCAGGGATTTCCCATCTTCGGTTCGCGACAAGGCTCTACAAAGGGATTTGAACAGGCTGGAGCAATGGGCAGAGGTCAGTTGTATGAGGTTCAAAACAAGGCCAAGTGTCAAGTCCTGCACTTGGGTCCTAACAACCCCAGGCAACGCTACAGGCTTGGGGAAGAGTGGCTGCAAAGCTGCCTGGCGGGAAAGGACCTGGGGGTCAACAGTCAGATGAATAATAGCCAGCAGTGTGCCCAGGTGGCCAAGAAGGCCAACAGCATCCTGGCTTGTATCAGAAATAGCATGGCCAGCAGGACTGGGGAAGAGACTGTCCTCTTAACTCAGCACTAGTGAGGCTGCACCTCAAATACTAGGTTCAGTTTTGGGCCTCTCTCAATAAGAAACACATTGAAGTGCTGGAGTGTGTCCAAAGAAGGGCAACGAAGCTGGTGAAGGGTCCAGAGAACAAGTCTTACAAGGAGCAGCTGAAGGAACTGTGGTTGTTTAGCCTGAAGAAAAGGAAGTGCATGGGAAACCTTATTGCTCTCTAAAACTATCTGAAAGGAGGTTGTAGGGCAAAGTGGGTGCCAGTCTCTTCTCCCAAATAACAAGTGATAGGAAAAGAGGAAATGGCCTCAGGTTATGCCAGGGGAAGTTTAATTTGGATATTAGCAATAAATTCTTCACTGAAATGCTTTACAACCCTTGGAGCAGGCGCTCAGGAAAGCAGTTGAGTCACCATCCCTAGAAGTATTTAAAAGATGTGTAGATGTGGTGCCTAGTGACATGGTTTAGAGGTGGACTTGGCAGTGCCAGTTTAACAGCTGGACTCTATCATCTTAACGGTCTTTTCCAGCCTAAACAATTCTATGATTCTATAACCAGACTAGTCTGTATGTGGAAAAATGTCACCTGCACCCTGAGCAAATACAGCTTGAAGCCTGACACCTATGGAAACAGGAAGGAAATAATGGGAGAAGAGATAGAGGGTTTTCTTCTGCTTTGTTAGAAAAATCCATAGAAGTATAAACAACATAAAGATTATTTGCAAGTTTTAGTTGACTTGGATCCTGAACTGACCAAGTCAAAGCATGGATAGACTCTTACTATAGATACATCAGGTCCCTAGTACACAAGAGATGACAGTCTCTGGCAGTCTACAGCATTACTCTAATAGCATAGAAGCATCTATATGAATTGCAGGTACAGCTATTTGCAGGAATGAGATGTGTCCACAAAATCTGTGAACAGGGTCAAATAAAAACAAATCTAGGCTTCTAGAAAGATGTCACTTCTGATATTTGCATATTAGATGAGTATTTAAAACATGAGAACACAGTTTAAGTACTGTTGTGTCTATGCACTAGTAGATCTGTGTTATGCCACTATTTGCAATACACTCTGTAGTTATGTGCCATTGTTTATACTCCAGTGTTGAACAGTACCTTGCAATGCTTGTATCAGGCTGTTTAGTTGCAAAGTGCTCATAAAATATTTCTAAAACTTTAATATACAAGGACATTATTTTGATTAGTGCATTTTGTTATTAGTCTTGTGGGTTTTATGAATTTCAGAAAATGAGTTAGCCATCTGTTCACTCAAATGTAATCAGCTGGGGAAAGTTTTAAAACACATGATTTTATAGGACAAAATGTTGGCTATTTTATCTTTCTGTGGTTTGTTTCCATAAAATCCAATACGAAGGAAAGTAATATTATTTTACAATAATGTATAAAAACATTTCTTATTTTTATTTAATTTAGAA